CAGACAGACAGGTGCACAGCAACAACAGTGATATTGGCAATGGCAGTCAAGCAGGACCATGGCAGGAGGCTCCACTAGGATCGATAAGAACCTGCGAGATGAGAGGGCACAAGAACTCCGGGGAAGAAGTGAAGTTAGTAACATGCATTAATGGGACATGAATGGGTGCAGAAAGAGAGAGGAAGAGAGGAGCTCAGTGCACCATGGGAAATCCCCCGATAGTCTAGGCCTATAGCAGCATAACTAAGGGATGGTTCAGGACTCACCTGAGCCAGCCCTAACTATAAGCTTTATCAAAGAGGAATGTCTTAAGCCTACTCCTGAATGTGGAGAGGGTGTCTGCCTCCCGAACCACAACTGGAAGCTGGTTCCACAGGAGAGGAGCTTGGTAACTGAAGGCTCTGGCTCCTGTTCTACTTTTAGAGACTATAGGAACCACAAGTATCCCAGCATTCAGAGAACGTAGTGTTCTAGTGGGGTAATGGGGTACTATGAGCTCTTTAAGATATGAAGGGGCCTGACCATGAAGAGCTTTATAGGTGAGGAGGAGGATTTTAAATTCTATTCTACATTTTACAGGGAGCCAAGGCAGAGAAGCTAGTACAGGAGAGATGTGATCTCTTTTTCTAGTTCCTGTCAGTACTCATGCTGCAGCGTTTTTATTTATTAATTATATTAATAAATTAATTAATTGGAGCGTTTTAATGGACTTTTAGGGGCTTCCTGATAATAAAGAGTTGCAGTAATCCAGCCTTAAAGTAACAAATGCATGGATTAGTTTTTCTGCATCTGTCTGTGATAGGATGTGTCTAATTTTTGTAATATTACGTAAATGAAAGAAGGCAGTCCTGGAGGTTTGCTTTATGTGGGATTTAAATGACAAATCCTGATCAAAGATAACTCCAAGAATTCCTGAGGCCAAGGTAATGCCATCTAGAGTAACTATATCTTTGGACAGTGAGTCTCTAAGGTTTTTGGGGCCAAGAACAAGAATTTCTTTTTTTTCTGAGTTTAACATCAGAAAATTGCAGCTCATCCAGGATTTTATGTCCTCAAGACATGTTTGTAATTTAGATAATTGATTAATTTCATCGGGCTTGATCGATAGATATAACTGCGTATTATCTGCATAACAGTGAAAGTTAATGGAGTGATTTCTAATCATGTTGCCTAAAGGGAGCATATATAAAGTAAAAAGTATTGGTCCATGTACAGAACCTTGTGGAACTTCATGACTAATTGTAGTATTTATTGAAGAGTCATCGTTAACATGTACAAACTGCAAATGATCTGATAAGTATGACTTAAACCAGTTTAGTGCAGTTCCTTTAATGCCAATTTGATGCTCAAGTTTCTGTAACAGAATATCATGGTCAATGGTGTCAAATGCAGCACTAAGATCTAATAATACAACCTAATAAATAAACAATACATAATATGTTAATTAGTGAGCTTGGCCAGAGGTGCTGGCCAATGGATTTTGTTTCCTTTGGACAGAGTCAGGCTAGCTGTTTCCCCCTGTTTCCATTATTAGTGCTAAGCTAAGCTAACCAGCTACATACACAGCCACATATTTAGAAAACAGACATGAGAGTGGTAATTTCAATCTAATTCTTGAAAGGAAAGTGAATAGGTGTATTTCTAAAAATGTATAATGATATTGTGCATCGGTAATGGACCGTACACATCAAAGAATGTTCCTTTATAAGGTCAGAACTGCATAATAGGTCCCTTTGTTCAACTTGGGAAAGTCCTGATTCGAACCATTCTGGGGGAAGCAAAGTCAGAAATTAGATGCTAAATATCAAACAGCAACGCCTAACGCAACTGTTTCATTTTCCATCTCATCAGTACTTTGTGAAACTCCTCCTCATTGATATTTGCAATTTCTTGTTTCATTAATAAAAATTACAAAGGCTGCTGTCATTCATTGACATTAAACATTAAACTTTTTCATATCAAAGATACAATTATTATTATTAAGGTGATGATGATTATTCAGTCCCGTTTTCTTGCCCAGAGTCCTGGTCATATTGTCATTCTTTTTTAAACAGATATTACAATAAGCAACCCTTTTAATTAATTAAATAAACTGAATAAATCAAATTCATTTCACTCAGAGTAGAGCAAGGCCAGTCACATGTGCCAGTTCTCTGGTTGAAAAGGGAAATTAAGTCGAGAGTAGAAACTATGAGATGATAATATTCCATTATAGAGGCCTTTATTCAGTCCGGAGAAGACCCGACTTGAAACACACAGACTGAAGCAGAACAAGAAATTAAATGGGCCCTAAATATATCCAGCAGCAATCCTCAGCGCTGTCATTTTCTATCTCATCGTACTTTGTGCTGTTCCCCCCTCAAAATCCTGCTGCATAGTAAGTAATGTGATTAATATACTGTTAATTTGTGTGAGATGGTTGATGTGAGATTGAGGTCTTGTATGCATTGCATATACTGTATGAGTTATAATTAGACATTTGTGTATATCAGACCCAGTGAATGCTTTATTTACTTTTTGTCTAGTGGGGATAAATCTGAAGCGGATGAATCACTGAATGACTGGATTTGCATCTGACCCACTTCCATTTGATTTGCCCAAGTGGATTTGCAATATGCAGATACAGCTGTATGAAAGTGAGCTGTGAGAAAGTTGTTTGTACAATGGGCCACGTCTCAAGGCTAATGGGGATGATGTTTAAGACCTTTGTAGTGTTGCACTCGGTTGTGTTGGGGAGTAGTGATGCTACATGTTGCACTGCTGCTAGCTCAACTCCCAGTATCTTTTGGGCGGCACAGCTACTTTCAAAATCATGAAACATTTCCAGTGGCCAGCTAATTCCATTAAGCAGCATGGTAGCACAACCTCCTGCTACATTTGATTTCCTTTTGAAGGAAAGAAAAAAGCTCAGAAATGAGTCTGTTGCTTCAAAACAAGTGCAGATTCTGCACGAGCACCTCCCTGTCTTCAAATTCAGGAGAGAATCAATCGAGCAGTTTGTGTGGCGGAGAGATAAGGGGCCAGGAGTTGTTACGCTGTGGACACACTACCTGGATGAGCACAAATGGCTTGTTCATTTCAATCCAGCCTTGGAAGCAACAAATAGTTAGTGAGCTAAGAGCTAGTGTGAGGAAATCCAACTGTGATCCAACCTACATAGACTTTGGTTCAGCATTTTGAGTTAAAACTTTGAGGGAATGACAGATCTATTTTCTTATGTCAAAAAAACTCATGGCTCCTCTGAGTATGAGACTAAGTACAGCTCTGCAAAAGCTCCATCCTGGAGAGACCTGCTTCATCTGTAGCGATTATACATAATGTATGAAAATAAACTGTTTCGGTGTAAAAGCGACGCCTGAGGGATAATGGCAGTGAAACCAAAGACACCATAGACACCGTTCACAGCTAATCTGATACTGCCAGGCAATCCTGTTAACTATGCTCTCCAAGTCATGCTTTAATGATTTCTTTGAGTTTGAATTGTGTGTGTGTGTGTGTGTGTGTGTGTGTGTGTGTGTGTGTGTGTGTGTTTAGACAATCATCTGAATGCACACAGGAACTGATAACTGCTTCTTTGCTATTTTTACCAGCATGCTGCTGCCAAAGAGAACATGTAATGCAAACAGTGGGGAGTGTGTATGTTTGTTTTTAGAGGATTTACAACCGGCACCAGCCCACCCTATATTTGATAGATAATGTCAAGCCAATCAACATCTCTGCTGCCGCTGGAATCTCTGACTGCATCAAACAGAGGACAGAGAGTGAGGAGCATGCACGTAGAGTACCTCTGTAAAGGCTCGCGCACAGGAGAACTGTCACGACTGGCGAGAAAAAGAGGAATAAAGTCCCCTCTCGACGGGACTTTATTTCACCGGGAGACAAATCAGGAGGATAAAACGGTGATTTTATGGCAGCAGTATGTCAGAATTGCCCTTGACATTATGCATAAATGAGGAGATCAAAAATGTCACCTGCTTTCGTGTTGCATTCTGCCAACAGGTTGACAGGCACTGCCATCAGCAAACAGCAGGCTTCATGCATGTATGCTAAATAAATTGCTGACAAGCCCCCTTGCTTCAGCCTATCAACATGCACTGTTTTGTAAGTTTCCAGCAGCGTAGACACATGAGTTTGAATAATCGTCAGAAAAACATGCTGGCATTTATAAAATGAGCTGATAAGCTAAAAGGGGTACAATTCCGATGGATCGGAAAATTTGGAACCGGTTCTCCATTCCCTCATCAAGAGTTCTGTCATTGCTGTCAGTTTAGACAAGGGATGTCAAACTGTCGGCCCAGGGGCCATTTCCAACCCCTCTCTCCCCTTCCCTCCAGCCGCAGCATGACATCAAAAATATAATGTATAATATAATCCAGCTCACAAGATAATTTTTTCTCTGTGTTTCAAATCAATTTAAACTACACATTCAAATACAGTTAAGAAAAAAAAAAAATGTATTTGATAAAAAATAATGGCAAAAGTCAGAGACTGCTGTTTACTATATGTTTGTTAAATATGATGTAAGTAAGAGAAATACTCTCAGACTGTGCTTTCTTGTAGTATTTGAACGTTGAAGTGGCTCTCCTATCAGATACCAGCAGTGGCCCCAAGCCAATGTGAGTTTGAGAGCCCTGGTTTAGAAAGACTTTGAGCCTTGAGGATTTTGCTGAGACCTCTTCTTTAAGGCCTGAAGGCATGTTTACTACAAATGTGTGTTTTGTGTATTAATGTCATACAAGGATTATGCCCACTTTATAAATTGCACGAATGTTCTTGCCCCCATTGTGGTAGCATGATATCAAAGGTTTGCCATGTTGTCCTCATAAAACAAATAATAGTTTTATATGCTTATATAATTATATTAAACTATTCTTGTTCTTGGCTCCAGGCAAAGTAAGTAGGGCCCCCAAAGAAATCTTGCCTAGGGCCCCCTGTTGTCTAGCATCAGGCCTGTTTACAACCCGAGTATTAATAGTCTGTTCTGTGTCTCCCTACTATAGATATGACTGGGCTGTTCTGGCTGGGGAAGAGGAAGAAAGGACAGAAAGAATCCATTGGGAGATGACACAAACCGCATCAGACCCTGAACTCCTCACCAACACAACTTTGAAAGAGGATGAAAAAGATCAAAGTTTCTTTTGTACCTGCAGTTCAATCTGTGTGGACACAGTGGCAGTGTATGAGCAGGAACTGAATGAGAAGCTGGTTGCTGTTTGTGCAAAGTAGACGTCTGCATTTATTTGTCACTCCCAGAATTTCCTGAGTCATGAGGAGAAAAGACCAGTGTCTTACACAGCAGAACAGAGACCTTTCGACTTTTACTCTCCCTCTTTTATGTTTACCCTCTGTCTCTCCCATGGTGCATTATTTCGGCCTACATGAGAAAGTGTCTTTGAAAACTGTAATTTCTTGGTGACGGAGAGGAGTTGTGCACACAGAGACAACAGGAGAGTGAAGCTGTTGGGCAACATTATCGAACCATCAGCGGTGTGTTTTACAAAAAAGGAAACTTGTAATTCCATTCAAGTTGACGTGAGAAAAAAAAGAGTCTGGCATGTGACATCTTAAATCCACGACAGATACAAATGCATGAAAGAGCTTCAGCTGTAGCAAGAGAACGCTTTTAGAGCACATCTGGAATGTTCGTGTTTTAACGGCAAGCCAGCGTTCAGACCGACTGCAGCACTGCTCCATTCATTCCCATTCACCACGAAAACAACAAGTTGAACCTGACTCCACATAATGCGACAACTTCCAGGAAGATACTGCGATCATATTTGTGCAAAGGTACATTTCTGGTAGATTACTTTGTAGTGAGAATTTTTCTGTTTACTTCACAGTCGTCGTGACAAAAGATATAGTAATATTTCTAGAGTTATAAAATCCTTTCTCATGGTATTATAAATCACTGTGCAGTGTTTTGCCGACTGTTTCTTAAAGTGCACTTTTCTGGATTGCATAACACAGTGCTGTTATCGGTCTGAACGACTAGTAATGCGGACGATATTATGTGTTTTTCTTATCATCAACAAATCCCATGAAAAGACCAAAACCAACACTGAATGGATCCTGCTAACGAGTCCTCTGTGCTATAGACCTCAATTATTGTCTAACTAGACTAAAGGGCCGTACACACCAAGAACGATAACTATAAATATATCTTTTAAAAAATCGAGTCCACACCACAACTATAACGATGACAGTGGTGAACAATATCGTTGGGATCACTTTCAAACCAATTGTAGGAATAATATTGTAATATGAGACTGTACGTAGTTTAACTGCTTTAAGCTAAATGCTAACGCCTGCATGCTAACATGCTCATAATGACGAGGCTAACATGCTGATGATAACATTTAATATTTAGTTTGACATTTTAGGTCAACATTTTAGCATAATATAGAAAAATTCGATTGATACCTTCAGTAGGAAGATACAGTAAGGGCCACTGACAGGTTAGAAGAGTCATAAAGTATTCAGACGGACTAACAGCCTGTTGGTTTTGGTCATTTCAGGGGATTTCTTTTATTTTACTTGAATGAGAAAAATAAGGAGAAACGGCAGCCCTATGTGCAAAACAAGGTGGTCCTTTAATCTGTGAAAACATCAGAACCATGCTTTAAACTTAAACTAAAATAAATTGTAAAAAGAAGAACTGCACAATGCTATCAGTCATAACGAAACACAGAAAAGCCAAAAGTGCTTTTTATGTGTATTTTCTCAGATGTATAAAGCTCCTCTGAGGCCTCTATTGCCATCCTGGGCCAGTGGAACATGTTATGGCTTCAATTCTGATACAAGAAAGGATACAAAGAGCGTGAGCACAGTTGCAGGTAGGAACCAAGCTGTTACATCTCTATTGATTTCACTCCCAGAGCAGCAGGAGACAAGCTGCAAACATTGCCTGGCTGGTGCATATTAAACCAATCTATCCTCTGAAGAAATCTTGTACTTGGATTTGGGAGGTTTTGCATGCTGGAGCTTGAAACGTGGGAGGAATTTACACAGATCTCAGTGCGAGATCTGAAGCATATTTTAGATACTGGCTTTGTATTCATATAGCCCACACTGTACACATGAGAAATCAACACTAGCCGTGTTAATATGCATTTGAGTAAAGCCAGATTTCATACCCTGTGATTGAGTCTCCGATGTCATAAATAATCCAATTTACTGGCCAAGATAGAACTGCCTTCCAGCCAAAAAGTATTACAAGGTTTGGTTGCTTTCTGTCCTCTTTGACTGAGCTGTAGCTTAAATGGAATACAAAAAAAGGGAGTGATAATAAAAATGGTGTATAATAGCACTGGGCCCTACTTTGCATTTGAGTAAGTGACTGTTGGTGATTTTAAAGCTTTTTGACTCTCCTCCTGCACTGTCACATATGTAAAACAAAACTTTACTTTCCACATTTGTCATTCATGAGGAGGCTGGTCTCCTGTGCCAGGGGGCTTTTCAAAGTCGGAAAAAATAAACTTCATGATTTCATTAGGGTTGGGCCTGAAGACTTTACATTCTTCTGGGATTGGAAACTAGTTAACTAGTTAGGTTGAATGATAAATGATTCAATCTTGCAAATCTTCTCATTAAAAAAGTGTTATCAGACTATACAGATCAAATTCTGATAGTGAAATGAGTCATTTACCTGCTTTTTAACTTTTGCTAAGCTAGTGGCAAGGCTAACTTTCCAGTGTCTGTGCTATAGTGTCAGGCTATGGCTATGTAGTAGAGACGTTGGTTTAATAGGAGCTTTTATAGGTTTGGTTGGTAACAAAAACAAAAAACAAAAAACAAAAGCTATTGCAATTCAATTGTAATAGCCGGGTTTCAACCAGTAGAGGATAGTCGCTATGCATTTTTATAGCAAAATATGTAGAATTCAAATACACTAAAATGTCAAGATTTGGACCTGAATCAATCAACAACACTAGTATTACCCATATACATAGGTTTTCAACTGGTTTTGGGGTTCAGTTACTCATGTAAGATTGTGATTTTGGTTAAATTTTAATACAAAATCTTATGTCTTAAGTCACTGCTGACTGTTGAATAATGCTGTTTGATTGCCTATTTTGGTGGAAAACAAAGCAAATGCGTTATCAGTGAACATTTCTGTCAGTATCAACATTTTTATGACTTGTTAGGTATGTTAATTAACAGCATTTTCTCATTAGGTTACTAAAAATTGTAATTAGGTTTGCATTACAATTCCCTCAAAACGTATTTGCTGTTGCAGATTAATGCTATACAAACATAAATACTAGGAGACAAGGCTGCCTTTAATAGAGCTTTTAAATTCAATGTTGCAGAAAATTGTTGTAGAATATTGTAACAACCTGGATTGCATCGCTAATATACACAGTATATACAGTTTGTACCCCAATTCATTGAATTCACTTCCGTTTATCAGTCAGTTGAGGTTAGGAGGAGAGCAGGAGAGTTTCCGAATCAGAGCAAAACGCTCAAATTGTCGCGGGGTAATAACAAAGCTTCACAATCCTTTCATTACATTTTTTTTCAATCGCCACAATCAGCCATCCTACAGTATATCCTACTCTTAAAACCCTCACTCTGGATTACGCCACATTGCCTCACTACTCCACTGTCAGCTGTCACTGAAGCCGGTCATCATTCATCCACAATCCAGAAGCAAAACCTAGATCTCTGGACTGGACTGACTTAACTATAAGTGAAAAATTTATTTTATTTTAGGTTTTTTTTTTGTTTTGTTTTGTTTTTTCAGACTGAATTCAGTTGATCTTTTTTGATCCATGAACAGGACCTAATTTCTTTTTTTTATTATTATTATTATTTTCACTTTTTGGAAATGAACTGATCCTAGAAAAGAAAACCCATAGTGGAATTTTGAGTTTGGATTATCTCTGTTTTTGATTAACTTTGGGACTGTGGGATTTTGGGGTTTTTTTTGGTGAAAATTTGAAAAATATATCTTTGATTTTTGACTCAAGAGGATGTGTTTGTGTTCTTAATTTCATCCTTATGGGCAGTTTGATTTTAACCTTTTAAAAAACAAAAACACTACAAAACAAGAACGATAAAAAACTTCTAGACTATCTTAAATGCAAGGAGAGAGACCTGGCTGGCACCTATCTAAATACCATATAAAAATTAGAGACCCTAAGTCAAACTGTTACATTATGAGTACCTGAATAACACCTTAATAATGGACCAAAATCAGCACCTGTCTTCTGCAATTGGTGACAAGCAGTTCTTACTGAATTATAATATTTTGGCAAAAGTTCTCTGGTGTGTTCCCCGGTTTGATTCTGGCTTGCCATCTTTGTTGCATGCCATGCCCCTCCCCTCTCCACCCTTATTTCTTGTCTATCGTGTCATTATAAACTAAACAAAAAGAAAAAAAACAATTAAAAAAATAATAAATAAATATGCTGTCACTGCTACATTCTGAAAGTCATTGCCTGCTTTTGTAAGAGATGCCATACCATTTAATCTCAAGTTTCTGGACACCTGATGAATGTGAGTCCAGTATACTCTGAACACAAAGTATAGATCTGCAGCCCAATAGGTCTGCAGCTGCTAGATGTTGCTTCCGCTTTCTGCTACTTGTTGCTCAGCAGGTAGGGATGTCTATAATTGTCAGAGCTTCTGGGCTGGAAATGATTGCCAGCACTTTAGCTGTGTATTAAGACAGAACGAAATGCAAATTTTTGAGGTGGTGAATTTGTATATGAAGTTGATAGACAGGCACGATTAGACGCAAATCACGTGTATGCACAAATTGATAATGTTTCATGTTTCAATCCTGGGTCTTTATGAATCTGCTTCGTAAACACACTGACAAGAGGAAAAAGTATGACAGACCAATTACGGAGCCGGGGCACGGGAAGTGGGAGACTGCAGTGAAATAACAGAAAGAATGGGAGATCAGTCAGAGGCTATGTTAAACATCAGTACAGTCAGTACACTGACTTTTTGGGGCAAATAAACAGTCACGTGGTGAAATTCATGGCATGAGTTGTTAATTTGCTTTACTCTCTATATGAACAAACCTTAATATGGGATGACTGATGAGAGCTGTGAGACTGAAGCATAGAGCTGCAAAGCTGGTTGTTGATTCTCAGTGAGTTTGGCGCTCTAAGCTGAGCCCAATGTTATTACAGTTTTCATAAATCTTCATAAATGTAATGTCATTTATGGTTGAATTAAGACCCAAGTCTTGTCAGTCCAATTCCATTCAAGCCTTAAAATATTTACACCAGATGCAGATGAAGAAGGAAAATCTAGTTTTTTTGACAGTAGCCAGTTTTCTCATGAATGTCTCACAAAGCACAGCCTGGTTATTTCAGCCCCCTTATATGGTTTATGGTATTACACATACATGAACTTTGTGGGTTAACAACAGATTTCTCCATGCATGTTAATGTAGCTACTCGGACCGTCAGTGCTTATCGCCGACCATTCTTTGGTACATGTGATGTGAAAATCTCCACCTGCTTAATTAGACTTTGTTATGATAAAATAAGGAATCAGACACACAGTCCGATCACAAGGGGTTTGTCTGCCCTTGGCTGATGTTGTATTTATCTTTAATTGTGTTCTCCCTGTGGGTGGCAGAAGACCTGGAGCTTCAGTGCAAACCAGATGCTGTTATTCTGTTATTCTCAACTGACGATGAGTGATGTAAATTATGTGCACTCTTATTAAAAAACTGTTTGACCTCTCTGACTAAGTGCCTCTGTGTCCTTTGTAGAATAGATATTAATCTCTATAATTAAATGGGTTAATCATAAGTCTTCCCTTACGTTGTGCCACTGAGGGGTTATCTGAGGAAACCTGCTCAACATCCCTAATGATGCGAAAAGAAAACTTCCAATGAAGCATTCTTCATTATCACATGCCCTGCTGAGATGTGCTGAGCTCTGACTGGAGGGAAGGAAATAAAATTCACAGCTTAGCAGAGAAAAACACAATTGCACATCCTGGAGTCCACAGAGAGAGACTAAATCGAAAATATGTAATATAGCAATGAATGACAAAGCATTATTCTCAATTATCTACAAAAAAGAATTAGTACCTTAACTATCAAGCTGTTTTTGTTTTTTGCTGTGACATTAGTTTTCCTTCAGAAGAAACCATTTGATGCAATTGATTATTCTGCCATTTGAAAATAATTAAGAGACTATGACCCCATCATTAAGTTGTTTGTGTCAAGTGCCTTTTTATATTGCTGTTTTACATTATACAGTCAGTTTACCCACATAAATAAATGTACTGATTCAATGTCATTGTCCCTTTAACAACTTAAGTTCCAAGTTTTATTTAAAATGCTCATTTTAAACGTGTCTGATCTTTTCACCGTTGTCTTTGAGTTACATGTTGTTTTTCCACTAGCATGGGTCAACATTAGCATTTGTGACTGTTTACCATCTAGCTAGCTAGCATGTACCGTTAGCTAATAATATGACATATGGATGTGAATATTCATGTAAATGCGCTCTGAATATAATTAATAAAATGTTTCATGAGATTCTGCTCCCTGTTCATGTCATTCTTCAGGTAACGGTTGATTCCCAGTAAAACAAACCTCTATAGCTCTCCTTTAAAAGGATGATTCGTATGTAGCAATGATGGAAAAGTTACTGGTTTTGTGGCACTTCAAGTATATCTAGAACGTACATTTAGAAATCATAAGTACCTTAGCACTATACTAATGTAGTCTATGACCCCTTCAAAATGATTCAGGAACTAGCCATAGCCTGTAAGCTGTTGATTGACTGATAGTTCCTGATTTGTCCCTGACTCAGCTGTTAGTAACTACCCAAGCATTATACACATTTTGTGTGTATAATACATGAAAGTGTCATTCACAATTCAGACAAAAATAAATATAATTTGGTGCCGAAGTGAACGTAAGTAAATATACATCTTTTGATTTTTTTCCCTTTTAATTGACACTAAGGGCGCCATTAGCTAAAAAGTTGTATCAACTCTCTCCACTGTCACAGAGTCAAGCCACCATAGACATAATCTACATAGACGCCTCATAGACTGACGCTGCCTATTGGAGCTGACGTATCAGCGCGGCCGCCATCTTGGATGGGTCTCCAATGCGCCCGCCCTGCATTTATTTCTACTGAGGAAGGTGTATCCCCAACTACAATAATCATAACTCCCCGAATTTTTACCGGATTTTCACACGGTTTGGTTTGATACAAACGGCAGAGATTTAGTTATGAAACAGGACGCTGTCACACATTGAAAAATACCTGTTTTCATGCTAAAAGACTTTGTATTATGCTCTTTAACAAAGACATATAGTAGGCTATGGCATATTGTAAATGTATAAATTAATTAATTTTATATTTTAATAAAGAAACAAGTTTGATTGTTCATTTGAATTTATTTCGCACCATCTCTAAGCCTGACAATCTGACCCGTCCTGTCAAAATCATGAGGCTTGAAGTGCTCACTACAGAGCTTTCAGTTGGAACAAAACCCTCCCGTTTTATAGCAACTTCCCATTGCCTCCTCAAGCCTGTATCACTGGGAAACCTTCAAAATGTGAAAAAGAAAAAACAGCAAGAGACAATGAGAGAGAGTACCAGTTCCTGCTGTCATAACGTTAGTTATGATGACATACTATTATAAATGGTAAAATAACCAAAATTATTGTTCAATCTGACTTGTGAAAGGTAATCCCACGTGATCTGGTATCAATACTGCGCCGATTATTGCAACCGTAAGCTGCACAAAATACGGGCATAGTGGCTCGTTCTCCATTGACTCTGATTGACTCTGGTGCTAGCGTAGAGTGAGGAGACCCATCCAATATGGCGGCGACGCTGGATACGTTCCAGCACGTCATGAGGCGTCTACATATATTATGTCTATGCAAGCCACACACTGCCGAAAATCCTTTCCTTCCCCATCAGCCACCTGGGCATAGTCCTCTGAACGTTGTTAAAATTGGGTCACTGCTTGTGATACTGAAATATAGACCCTGAGAACTAATATGAGTGACTGTACTTTTGATCTTAGAGTGCAAGCACTAGTTATTAGCTTGTAGTCTAGATTTTTATCATTGGGATGATTTGATTATCCTTCATTTGATGTGATCATGTTATTTTACTCATGAATACCCAGCAGCAAGTGAGCCACTCCTGAGTTCTGTCAAATTAATGTCATAAAGGTGTGAATATATTCCTGTATATTATGATCAGGTGGAAAACTACAGTATATGCATAATTAATATGGAAATCTGTATAAGCCTCCATAGCTCCAGCTAATTTAACATCATGCAAAGTGTTCTCAACTTTACAGCACAAAGTGCTGAGTGCTCTCTCTCTTTGCTGAGTGCAGTCTCTTAACTGGCGTCCCAAGGGTCCACTGCTGATCAGCATTTCCGGACAATGTGTGCTGTCAAGGCCACTTTACAAGCTTAAAGCAGAAAATATAACAAAAATAGAGCCTCTGATGAATGCAATAGGGATTCACTGAACAAAAATAGAGATAGTTGTTTGCCTGTTTCTATAACTCCACTTCCCCTGAGTAATGTTTTCACTATAAATCTGAACGTTAATAGAATATAGCTCAATATACTTGAATAAGTGATAGTGACTGCTGATCCCCAGTGGAGATGAGGAAATATTCAGCTACAGCCCTAATGAGCTGCTTTAAATCAGATACAGTTCTCCACTTTAGCGGCCAGAATACATGGACCCCTATAATCTAATCACTTTCATACGTGTGCAGGCACACAGAAGTAAACGTTCAGGTACATGCAGTCCAAACAACATAGATTCTAGGCTTTGGTTGGTGGGGGAAATAAATGACAAGTCCTCTCCTCCCTTCAGTTGCTGCTGTCAAGATGTCCTTAATCAAGGCCCGTTACCTTGAACTGATGGAGCCGAATGTAGCATGATATGAATATCTACCTCATGAATGTTCTGCTACCTTTAAACTTTGGACAAGACTAAAACTACAGTACCAAGAATACCAAACCACATTATTTCCACCATCTTGCACGTACGTTGCAAGTATTTAGACTTTTTTACGGTCAGAAAGATGCATAAACTTTATGACTGACTAAATATACCAGAAAACACCCTGAGCAACTGGCCTGTAACCACTGGATTTCTGGTGGTAGACGACCAAAATCCCATGAGAACACCAATTGTGGCATGTACCAAAACAGTGTGCTAACAATAAAAAGCTTTTTCCAAAAGATTAAAAAGTTTTTAAGAAGTGATTTAAAAGATGTCACTGCCACAGATCCTCAAGAAGGAAATCCCAAAGCTGAGTGTTCCTGACTGCAAGCCCAAGCACCTTTAGTTTTGAACCATGACTTAGGAATAGCCAACAGAGCCCTGTCCAAAGATCTGATGTTGCACTCATAGGGGAGCAGTCATTCAGCAATATAACTGGGAGCTAAACTATGAAGTGCTTTAAAGGTTATCAATAAAATCTCAAAATCAACTTTAAATCTTGCAGGTAACCAGTGAAGAGAGGCTAAAACAGGGCTGGTATCATCTTGTCGTCTGTTAAAAGTAATGAATTACAATAATCTAATCAAGATGATATAAAAGCTTATGACCTTCTTGAGACCATGCAGACAGAGAAAAAGACCAGATTTTTGATGACTGAACAACTTTTGGAACTTGTTCAAATAAAAGTTCTCAAATATTCTGGCTGCATGTTTGACATTTGCAGGGAGCCAAGATGTTTTTGAACAAGTGGGATAGACTTTGGAGGACCAAAGATGAGATGAGAGCTGGGGAAGGTTTTGGGACATCCAGCACTTTATTTCTGACAGACAAGATAATAACATGGACACCAACCAGCAGCTTGTACTGTTTGTGTCTGTCTGTATCTGTCTCTGTAATCTGTACTGAAAAGGCCAAATAGGAAAACATTTTCAGAGCTTGGACCATCATTCCTATTAGTAATACCAAGTAATATTATCCCCAGCAAGTTAATAACTGAGCTTTGGGAACATGGCTAAAAAGAAGTCAAAAGGGCATGAAACACAAGAAGTCAGAAGATTAGACTGGCTGAACTCACTTTAGTGGTTGCCAGAGGGCTGCAGCTGAAAATGAGCCGACTGGCCAACACAGGCACATTTACAGAAATGTTGATTATTGGGTTGTCCTTTAAAACAGCCATAATCAATATTATTGAATGAATCACATTAATATTTGCAATGTATAAGCGGTTGCTCTTAGTGACATAATTATCACTAACGACTTACCACAAAGTAAGTAGCTGCTGAACACAGCGGAGCATTAAGCACCCATATGTCTCTATCAGGAGTTGAAGAAAGCTAAAAGGAGAGTGAATATTAGAGTTTGTCAGGTGGACAGAAACACAACTCTTCACTCTGAGTGAATGCTAATGTTGCTCTGTATCTGCTGAATGTGTAAAAAAAAAAAAAGAAAACCTCAGGTGGCGAGAGGAATTCCTCTGGGGGGAAGTGCTAAGGGCTTGATAAACACTACTGGAAGTCTTGTTTACCTCCACAGTTGTACACCTGCTTTTTTCCAGGATTATCTTATCTCTAGTATGTCAGACTGAATAATAATGTTTCTGATTCATCCGGTATGAATCAGACACCCCCCAGAGTCAGTCTTATCTCTTTTTATTTAGTTAGTAGTTACACACAAGTGTCTTGTGATCTCCAAATAATGTCTGCCCTTGGAGAAGTCAAATTGCAACGAGATACAGAGAGG